CAGGAAGGGGGCAAACACTTTTTCACACAACTGTATATATATATATAAATCACATGGTAATATTGTTAAATAGTCATGAATAGAAATGTGCCTACATCAGACACAAAAGTCCTAAAATGGTAGTAGAGGGAGGGTGCCCCTATGTTCAAAAGAAACGCAGCTAAACGAGATGCAGTGCACTAATGGTGCAAATGAGTCAGCTCAGACTGCCTGAGTCCGATAAGTTTTATTAACATACAATATTGAGTTATTGCCCAGCCTTGTGTCGCAAATTTTTTTTTTTTTTCAGACAGATTTTACGTAGCCACAGTCGTAGCTAGAATTGAGTATTTCCAGCCGCTATGTGACCTGGCACCGTAGCGCTCCCCCCCTCCTGTGCTATTGATCTCTGCGTATATTGATGTCCTCTGTCTTCTTCACTCTCCTCTCCTGTAATCCTTCTTCTCCGTTTTGCCTCCCCCCTCGCTCTCGCTCTTCCCACACAGTTACAGCTTTGCTCCTTCCGTCCACAGATTAGTTGACATTTTGGCAACAATGAGGGCTGTCAGCAGGAGTGTGACACTGCAACACGCACTGTCCGAGCATGACAATGCTGGGCAGAGAGAGAGGGAGAGAGAGGCTTTATTGCTGAAAGGCCCTGGAGAGTTTAAAAAACCTTCACCACAGCAGCCTGTGGATTACCGTCCCCTCGCCGTTGACAGGAGTTTGCAGCTCCTGCTGATACGGCGGCTGGATTTTTCTCAATTAAACACGTCTTAACGGGAGCTGGAGATACACCAAAGGCTCTCAGAGAGGGATGACAGGACGCACGGTTCAGCATGCAGCCCTCTGAAAGAAAAAAGCTGACGCATAGAATGTGAATTGACAGATTTTAAGTGCAGTGTGGCTCAGCATGCTCAACTGAGGGATGCTGAAATGTGCTCACCGGCAGGAGATAGAAGTGCAAGTGTAAGCAACTCAGTCTTGTTCACTGAGATGCTTACATTTACATCGTTGTTTTTTTTTTTTCAAACAAACAAAAGACTTCAAAAGTTTGTCATCATATATGTGGATGAAAGAAGATGATCCCTCTAGCTCTCTTTTACTGACCATTCTTTCTTTGTCCTTTCTGGCACTTTCTTATCCGTCAGTCGACTGTAAGTGACGGATGAGATCCTTTGTGGTTTGGCTTTAGGTTTGGTGAGAGAGAGAGTTTATGAATACATAATGTATTTCAACATCAGTTCCAGTCCTCAGCACGATGCCTTTGGGTGTCTTGAGTTTTGTCATCGGAGTGTTGTTGCTTCAAACGTAGCTGAGAATTATCATTATTAACATTTTATCCCAGAGTCCCGAAGTGAGACCATTCAAATAGATATCTAGCTTTGCAATGACAAACTATGAAGCTCTGATTAAACTACGCGTTCATGTGATGCATAAATGAACAATGCGTGATTAAAAAACAAATGTATCTCCGGCCTGACTCTCTTTCTCTCTCATTCTCACTCTCAGCAGACTCTACCAAGCCCAAGACCACCACCAGCACCACCACCCGCAGCACCGCTTCCACGGCCGCTGCCTCTCGCACCCGAACCGCAGCAACCAAACCGGCCACGCCCTCCTCCTCCACCACCACCACTGGTGCGGTACCAGAGAAGAAGCCCACGGTGCCCCGCACCCCTCGGCCCACTTCCTCATCCACCACCACCGCCGCCTCTAGGGCCACGGCTCGGCCCAGCACGGCACCGGCCCCCGACATCCGCAACGCCCGCTCCAAGATCGGCTCCACGGACAACATGAAGTACCAGCCCGGAGGAGGGAAGGTAGGTCTGACCGTCTGCAGCGGTCACACCTCTAGACGGTGCTTTGCTTTAATCTTCTGACGCTGGCCGCCCCTCAACTAACAGGCAATGTAGCCTCAAGATCTGTTTAACATGCGACACTGGCTTCCTGCCGTTCCTCACTTACACTTGTTTCTGATGCTCTTATTCTTAAATAATAACCAGTAAATGCATACCACTTTATCTGTAGTGTAAAACATTGATAGTCAGCATGATGCACAAGGTCGCTAGTACATTCTCCTCAGCAGCTACAGTCGAATACAGTCTGCAACTCCTTTCTCACGGTCTTTGGCTTCCTTAATTCACCTGGTTTTTCCATCTTCTTTTACTCCCACCTTGATCTTCTAACCACTCTTTCTCCACCTTTCATCCTCCGCCCTCATACCTCCTCCTCGCACCGCCTCCTCTCCCTGTGTGTTGTTGTGTGGTGTTGTCGCTGACCCGGGATGGGTCTTGTCTCCCCAGGTGTCATCCACCTCTCAGAGCAGGGCCGCCGCCTCCAAAGAAACCAGCCAGGGCAAAGTGAGTCCCCTCCCCTCCTCCCCACCATCACCCCACGCTCCACCTCCTTCTTTCACTCTCTCTGCCTCTGACTTTTATGTTCCCACATATTTTTATCATTTTTCTTTCATATTTTTTTTGTTGGTTTGTGCAAAATGGCTCCATTTGAAGCAAACTACAGCTTTTCTACTCCACGTCCAGGGTTCCGCTCAGCCATCTAGAAAACATCATGTCTCTATTCAAATATACATCTTCATATTCCAAAAGTGTTGTTACCCGGAGACGGATACAGATGCAGCTTAAAAGAAGCACTATGCTTATGTTAACACATGTACAAACACAACGATATCACAGCTTAAACGACAAAATCTGACGTGAAGTTCATGTGTTGGATCATTTCATTTTTTGTAGTACCAAATTGCTGCATGCTGATAAGGCCGTGGTTGCACCAGGACATAGAAACCGTCAAGTCTGTACGCTCAGAGATGGGATCTAGCTTGCATTGGGTCTCCAGTCGGCCATGACCACAAGCCCCAGTAGTCTTGCTTTCATTGGGTTTGGATCTTATCGAGGTGTGGACAGCATGTCGACACAATCCATACAATTTATCAAACGTACGTCTCCATCATCTTCCTCCCACGCTGGAGATCCTCTCCAGAGGAGAGCAAAGGGAAGAGAGGAGGAGCACCGGGGCTGGAGCTCATCTGAGATTTTATTGGACTATTGGACTAAGAATTTATAGGAAATTAAATGTGCTCATCGCCAAATTTGCGCTGCTTTGTTAGCGGCTATTCTATTCTATACTGCTATTGATACTGCAGGGAGGAAGAGTGAGCAGCAAGAATAACGGGGGGCTTATATTGTGAAGGATTTATAGGATATGAAATGTGTTTATCACTATCCGATCAGGCAGGTCGCGCTGAAGTGACAAGTGTGGACACACACACACACACACACATGCAGACGGAGCTGAGGTCCCGTCTGCTGCACCAGATCCCAACGGCATTGAAACGTGTAGAACATGAGTGTTTTCCTTCAACATCTATTTTCTTTTCTTTAAAGGACACCTGTCCAAAATGTGGCCTCCCACTGTCGCTCAGTGGTCGAGCTAAATCCTGTTCCTCGTCCCTGTTGTAAACGCAGCAAATCTTTACTTCAGCAGTGACGTGCCCTGAAGTAGCAAACAGCCAGCAGCGGCGTCTCACTCGCCTGACACTGATGTACAGTAACGCGCTGCAGTCGGTGCACTCCGCGTCACAATTTATAATGTGGGTGCAAAAGCACAGGGCCGCTGCTACATCCTCGGTGCCGCACTAGCGCCCCCTGCTGGTTGGTTCACTTGAGATGACTGTCATGGCACCGAGCTGTGGCCGTGTCTGTGTCTCAATGAAGAAGACAATTGACTCCGAAACGTTTTTCTGTGTCAGGTTCGGTCTTTAACATCTCAGTCTAACCTGTCTCTGAACTACAGTATCGATGTTGCTTTTGTCGCTGGTCAGTCATTGTTAATAACGTGCTCTGAGGTCCTCTGGATTCTACTCAACAGGGACGGATGTGTTGTGTTGCATGTGTGTGCTCTGAACCCCAAAACCCGCCGGCCAGATGGAAAAGCATGTTTTCTTTAAACAATCGCCAAAACAACCATGTTTATCACAGCCAGAAGCTGTAGAAACCCTCATTATCAACGGATTCTCGTCTTTCCGTCGGTCCTCAAACGCATCAAGGGTGACGAGCGCTTCCATCAGTAAAAGCAACCAAAACTAAGCTTCAAATTGTGATATTTCATCAAAAACATTTTATTCTACATGTCTCATTTAAAACTCTGCCACAAATAAACCGTTAACTCTAAACAGATCCTGTAAAAAACGATAAACTCTGAGCTCCTCAGCTCCACTAGGAAGCCATGATTTTTCCTTTTTTAGGATTTATGGCATTGTAACTGTTATTCTGCACAAAGACATTTTTGAGTTATCTCTACTTCTACTAAAGGAAACGCCCCAGAACTGCTTGGGCTTCAGAGGGTTAACGTATTGTTTGTGTGGCGTTCAGTAGCTTCTGCTTTCCTTTTTCACCAGACTTGGATGAAACGACGTTCGAGTATCTTTCTGTCCGTCTGGATTTCTGTCACCGTCGCTATTCAAATAACACAAGCCAGATTTCAGACCGCTTCACTGCCCAGCAGTCGATATCAAGCGCACATAGGACGTTTCAGATATTTGTTGTATTTGTCCAGGTGAACCTTGCCCTGTCCTCCTGTCCTTTCCTTTCTAACCCTGCCCGTGATGGTGACTTCTTCTCCCCTTCTCTTTTCTTTTCTTCTTTTCTTTTCTCACCTCTCCTCCTTCCACTTCCTCTCCCGTCCTCCCCTGGCTCTCCTCTTCCCTCTTGCTGCTATGCTGTGTCCATGTAGGTTCAGATAGTCTCCAAAAAGCTGGACTTCAGCCACGTCGCCTCGCGCTTGGGCTCCAAGGACAATATGAAGCACGTCCCTGGTGGAGGGAATGTAAGTACTGCCTGGCCTACAACCAGAGCTCACACGCATCGGCCAACTAGTCCCACAAACTTGGCTTGATGACCTGGCTAAAAGGAACAACGGAGCAAAGAAGAAATATAACATTTTCAACTCTTTGCTCCTAAAAATGAAGAAATATGAAGAGAGCCAGTTCTACAGTATAAAAAAGATGTCTGCCTTTATAAAAAGTTGAGTTAGCTACAGTACTTACGGCCTCCAACACTTAGTGCTGCTCTCGTTTGGACCCTTGGAATCATTGGACAGCATGCTAGCAAGCCTTATGGACCCGCCCCTCCCCCAGAACCCGCTGCACAGTCCCCTGCTTCCTTAAAGTCCCCCTGTGTTGTCCTCCCCTGTCACTAACTTACTAAACAAATGACAAAGTCAAGCGATAAAGGCGCCGATGGTCTCCGTCTCCGTCCGGTTGTGTGAGGAAAGGATCCCCACGGAGAGAGAGCCACATGTGGGATCTCTGGTTGTCCTGAAAGGAGGCCGTCCTGTCCCGAGCTTCTTCTTGTGAGGCGTGGTATCAGCACATATCTAAAGTGATTTTACCACATAGGATTTTTTTTTTTTAAATGAGTGTTGTTGCTGTTGGAATCAACCACGGCTTTGCAATTAGTTTGGATTCTCAAAGTTGGGCAGTGACGACAGCAGCATGATCTCAGAGATGCAATCTGAATTCTTCTGTCTTTGCACGATGGCCGCAACATGGAGGACGGTGTGCGTTCCACCATTTGATTTATCCTAATGGTGGTAATACAAGGTGTGAATGAAGCCGTGAAAGGGCCCATAGCCATGCACAGTGTAGTAATCACTCGGGATAAAAAGGCTTGTGTGACGTTCGACAGGTGCAGATCCTCAACAAGAAGGTGGATTTGAGTAAGGTGACGTCAAAGTGTGGATCCAAGGACAACATCAAGTACAAGCCTGGTGAGTGGGAAATGTTTTTATTAAATGCACGGTGCTCAAAAGCTGCTGGATGCTCCATCTCTGTGTCCACTGAGTTTATTAAGTACCTAGATAGAACTAATGAGTCTATAATAAACTGTGTAGCCAAAATACAGACACTCAGAGCCTTTAAAGAGATGGCCGCATCGACACCCATTAAAACCACAATCTTTCATCCGACGGCCATGCCAGTATAAACTCATATATTCTATTATATCAGGCTGTCAATCTAGAGCCGAGGCTTCAAAACTTCAAAGGCTTCAAAGTTTTTCCACCAGATTGATCCATTTTCATCCTATGGGGCAAATATTTGCTATTTTCCTGGTTTCCTGCACAGTTGTTGCTAATCATTGACATCCCAGAAAAATCCCCCTAGCATTGAGTATACAGAAAATATAAACGTATATATATTTAAAATAATTATAAATGATTATTAGGATGTTGACTGATTTAATAATGTAAAATAATATATATTGATATATACAGTATATATAATTTCATGGCAGTTTTTTGATGCAGACATGTTTGTCCTCCAATGACAGAGCAGTGCATCAATGTGGATATCATCATCACTGGTCAAACATTTATGAAAACATATAAGAACATAAGATTTGCTAATGTGTGACTTTGCATGATGAACGGGTTTACTGTAAAGAAGGCTCATGCATATGTTAGCTTGTGTCCGTGCATGCAATGTGTGAGATTCTCATTGATTGTCCGTGTGTGCGCTGCAGGCGGTGGGGTCGTGAAGGTCGAGTCCCACAAAGTGAGCTTCAAGGAAAAGGCTCAGTCCAAAGTGGGCTCCGTGGACAACTTGAGCCATTCACCTGGTGGAGGAGACATCAAGGTGAGATCAGACTGCAGAGAGCTTCATTTATTTTTATGAGCCGACCAATCACAGTGAAGAGGAATCAGGTTTCACTGCAAATGACGGTTCCTACAAATATGCATCAATACATCCTGAAAGGTGCGGAGAAGAATGTGACCTATCATCGGTTTCTCTCCGAGCCCCGCCCACTTCAAAAACCAGTGAAAAGATCACGGAGTGAAATGCAGAGACAGAACCTCTCATTAGTCTGATGTTGACTAATCCAACCTGTTGTAGCTTCGTCAGGTAATGCGTGTGTTAATGTAGGAGCTCAGAGTAACGGTCTGAAGCTGAAGAAATATGTGTTCAGGGCCAGACTTGAGTGTCAGTTAGAGAGGGCAGTGAAACACTCCCAGCTTGGTTTTAAAGTATGATTCAAGTCATTATCTGAGCAGATTAATGGAGCATTTATGACTTCGGGGGTTTCAGGTTTTTAGTGCTCGTTGCATCACTGTGTTCGTAATCTGAAAGATGTCGGGTGGCTTCCAGCTGCCATCACTTATGATGATGATGATGATGATGACGACAGCCTGTCATGAACCATCTCAGAGCCTCTCCACCAGCAACCGGCTCCCTTTCTCCTGACCTTTTTGGTCCGGCTGTTGTGCAATTGTGTGGATGCCTCCCTGCGGGGCACTGGTCTGCTCAGCTCTGTCCTGCACGTTTAGAGAGAGAGGAGGTCGACGGGATGGTCGTAGATTTCGGCAATGCGAGACATTTTGGGGGCAAATGGATCAGAAATGATGTCACCTGTCCCCTCAGCCTATGGCAGCTCGTCTGTGTTTCATTATCTCCACACGCTGTGGAGCGAAGATGCATAATGGTAAGGACAGCTACAAATAGCATTGGTGTAACAGGGACCCGTCTGAGTGAGCTTATTGATTACTGAAGATGTGTAGAGCTTTGAAACATGCTCTGACTTTGTGTTTGTGTTTGTGGGACAGACGGTATCTCATGTTTTATTCTAGAGCTGTGCAGACTTAAAGAAAGACAACGCCTCATATCCTGTCTCATGATATCAAAAGCCTCCAAGTCTCCAGTGTTGTCCAGAAACTATTAAAAACACATCAATGAGCTGCACCGTTGCACTCAGTGACATGTTCCTTCTTCACCGTGAACACACACACACACACACACTAGTTTATTTTGACTTAGTCCCACATACACCGCCCCGCTGCCACAAACACTCAATAGAGCGCCGGATGTGGATTAATCCGCCGCTGAAAATAGTCCCCAACAACAAATGCACTTTTTCCTCTTTGGTGAAAGCCACAGCTGTTTGTTTTTCACATTGTCACGAGATAACGTGAGAATCACAGGATCACATGTCGCACCAAAATCCATCTTATCAAGGTTTTAAGTAATGCGTTTCTGAACCAATCAGCTTCCTGTGAGGAGCTATGGGCGTGGCTTAAGGTGTGTGTGTGTGTGTGTGTGAGAAGTAGCAACTCTTGAGGTCATTTCACATCTTCCTCCGAGGTAGATTTACAGATATGTTTATGAGATCATGCAGAAGGGTTTGTGGTTCAGGTAAAACACATTTTATACACATTTTGCACTTTGCATCTGCTTTGTTTTATGTGATCTACTTGAATTTACAATTAGCTTTTGATCAATGCATTTTTTTAACATTATGTACTCCGGTTATTATTTTTCTGGAATGCCATCCACCTCCAGATCTTCTGCCCCACAAAAGTTTTGCTATTCCAGACTGTCTTGCTGAACTACGCACAGAACTATAATCTGTTTTTCACAACAAATGATATGTTCTATGTAGATTTGAAGCGAGGTTGGATCCATCCCCACCCCCACCGATTGACATGCCCTGCTGTGTGTTTTCTAGGATGAGGGAGCCCAGCAGACAACAGAGGGGAGCGGGACCCCCCTGAGTGGCACCGTGGCCCCGGGCCCCGAGCCGGGGCAGGCAGGGTGCCCCGCTGCCCAGGAGAACGGGCTGAAGGAGGGGGCTCCCTGCACTAGTGAGGGCCTCCGGGAGCCCCAGGCTCTGGACTCACGCATCCCAGAGACGAGTAAGTTAGGTGTGTGTGTGTGTGTGTGTGTGTGTGTGTCGGCCGGCCGGCCGGCCCCATCTGCTGTCGGGACGCTCGGGTAAAAGCCAATCATGCCAAACTATATCCTGTTGCCGGGAAACACCTGAAAGTTAGCATACTGTGTAGGAAAAGTATACTTTTTGTCCCCATGTCTGTGAGTGTAAACGTGTAACTCTGTCTGTACTGTGTTCATCATGTTGTCTGCCGTCCAAAGCTCCTGATCACACCGTCGTCTCCTGACTTCTTATCTTGCAGGCATCTAACTCTACTGTCCCTCTGCCCTCCTCATCTCAACCTCCCCCCTGCAACATCACCCCCCTTCCCCACCTTCTCCCGTCTGTGTCTTTTTCTTTCTCCCTTACCTCCTTCTCCTCTCTTCCCCCCTTTTTTATTTCTTCTTCCAACCTTTCTGCCGCAGATTGAGTGTTTCAAGCTCAACTTCCGCGAGAATGCTCGCTCTCGCACGGACCACGGCGCCGACATCATCACCTGGCCGGCCCCCCGGGACGACGACGACAACAGACCCCGCCCACACGGCTCCTCCCATTCTCTATACCAAAACCACCACCACCACCTGCCGGCTCCCCTCGGTGTCTCCCTCAACGAATCGTCGGCTCCCCACCTTCCTCTCCCCCCATCGAGCCCTCAGACCCCTTTCATCCTTAATCTGTCGTTGCACATTTGTGAACGAGCCGTTCTAGTTATGCCTGTTATGCCTCCTCTCTCACATCTGAGCTCATCATCATGCGCTATAGCAGCCCCCCCCCCTCTATGTTTGGCTGAAGTGACTGTATAGACTAGGCTTGGGCCTTTATGGGAATCTATGTGGTTTTTCCTCACATATTTGTTTGAGTCTCCTCCAAGCCGGCTGACCTGCAATCAGTGGGGTACCCTGACCCCCCCCACCCCACCCCCCCACCCCCCACAACAATAAGCAGCGATCCCAGCGTGGATCCACTCATGGCTTTTGTCAAACGCATAGCTTCTCTTTTCCTCGTGACTCTAAAGGCTGTTTTTTTCCCGATGACCGCTTCGCCTCCGCTTCAGTAACGTCACAGTAATTCATCGTGCATCTCATCCGCTTCATCGCCGTCACTATCACTCACCATAAACAAAAGCTAGACAACAAGTAGGCTGTTTGAACCATTGTAGGCTGTGTAACTCTTTATTCTCTGTCTTTGTGATGGTGTGTTTGACTGACAAAAATAGTGTAAAAATGAGCTTTAGTGTTCTGTTCGGATCTTATTTCTGTTTCTCTCGAGTTCTCTTCTTTCGTTGCTCCTAGTTTCTTGATTTTTAAAGCTAGGTTTTATTTATTTATTGTACGTTTCTTCCCACGCAAGCAATACAGCGGGCGGTCTTTTATCTCCGACAGCACTCAGAAAATCTTGGAATCACGCACAGGTTTCTTTGTAAACCAAGACACACAGCGAAGATGTTCACAGGGAGGGAGAACTTGAGAGGGAAGGTGTTGCTAGAAGGGGGCGAAAAAGAAGCGTTGGAGACTAAACGCGTGTTGGAACCTGAAGGTTCATTTGAAATGCAACAGAGGAAGTTTGCCACAGTAGAGGCTTTACCTCAGCATGCAGTCCAGAGGGAGATGAGGAAGATGTCTGAACGTCTCCGAAGGCAAGCGAGCTGTGTGTCTCGTACGTGCCTCCCGTCCTCCTTACCTGAAGAAACTTCAGTAAACGACAGCGACGCAGGCTCACGCCTAAAACCGCTCAGACCAAACTAATATATCTGACAAAATGGACGCGAAACGTTTGAGGGCAACCCTGCATTGCTGTTAAATCGAGCTTTCCCGGTAGTTGCGTCGCCGCTGTTGCCGTCCCACTTCAGGCGTTTCTACGAGGGTTGTGGTAGCAAGAACATCTCTAATGTGTGTCTCTAACACTTTATTATTTTTGGAGTATTAGTGGAACGTGATGTGGCTTTATACTCTTCTCTTGTAGCAGTTTATTCAACGGTTGCCTTTATAATGCATGGCCAGATTATATATCCCGCTCGGAGCTGAGAGCCGTTGTGCATTATAACTCCCAGTGTTGTGGTTTGGTACCATATGTATATCTCGGGGGCAATCCTAGACGCTCGATGGGTCGTTACGCAAATTATGACCACCGACGGACAGGAAGTGCTGCTTTCTGATGGGTCCTGTTGCACCTCATTAATTCTACCGCTTCAAGCGAGCTGCAGATTTGTACACAGTGGCTCAAACACACAGAGACGGATAAATTCATTCATTTTATTAGTTCAGATTGATTCTGCTCCTCGGTAACTCGTCAGCCATCACTGTATCACTCCCTCGCTCTCACGTATAGTGTTGTAAAAAGGGCTGGGTAACATCTGGAATTTTGCAATTTCAGTCTTGCTACTAAAACCGAAAAATATTTTTAATCTTAAATCTGCATCATGTTTTTGTGGGGGCCGCTTTTGGAATTCAATACAATGTTTATCTTTTATAGCCCAATATGACAAAACACACATTGGCCTCAGAGTGGTTTCCAATCTGTATCATCTGTCGTTGGACCCTCGCATCAGAAAGGAAAAACTCCCCAAAAAAAACCTCAACATGTGGAAAGAAAGGGAAGAAGCAGCCCAAACAATCTGTAAAGACAAAATAGTGTGATTATGACCGTATCAAGTTAATAAGGCACACTTGTAAGCACACATTCATCCAGCAGACACAGGAGAACATTAGCATCTCTGTCCACCTTGTGAATGTAGGTCCAATACTCCCTCATCTGACTTGGTCTCCACCAACTCCTGAGGGAAATGTCTGGCTCTTTGTCCGTCTGATGTTTGGTGCTCGGCATACTTTGGTCGGAGGTGTTTCGCTGCCTGGAACATGTGTTAATGACAGAGGCGTGAGACTGAACCAAAAACAGTGAAGCCTGTAAAACCAAAAGGATGAGCTGAAAGGTGGTAAGAGGCTCCGTAGACCTGAGGGGAACTCTTCTCTGGGGGTTCATCTCTATGAGCGACACCTTTCAGATCACACACAGTCACATTGTTTCCTCCAACAGAAGAAGACGGTCTCAATTGTTTAATACTCTCGAAACACGGGCAGCCATACAAGACTTAAACTGAGTCAATTCTGAAGTTATTTTAAGGAAAATAAAAGTAAAAATAGGTAAAGAAGATTCTTTGGTGTAATAAAAAGTAAATTGAGAGAATGGCAAATGCCTTTGCAGAAATTACAATTCAGTTTTAAAACCACAGCTCTATTGACCCCCTCCCCCCCCTATTGACGACCGTGAACACTCCTGAGTTTTCCTGTTCAAACTGTCTCTTTGGCAATGATTCGTAAGGAAGCTTTGACGGAACTAAATTGCACCGTAATGCTCTAACGTATCAAAGAGGGCTCACTGTGATGGAGAGTTGCTATCTGATTAAATGTCTGAATGCCCCCTTTGAACAGGCGACCCTAAGTAGCGTAACTGTGAATGAGATTTTGCGTGATGACATGAATAGAGCAATAAACTGAATTACAGTGCCCTCATTACTATTCAATCATGAAAACACAGCTCCATTCAGATCCAGTCATGATTTTCTTTCATATTGGAATCCTTTAAAGTTTTATATATAATTTCATCCAACAAAATAGGCAATAATTCATGTCTTCTGAAAGTGGGAACGATTCACATGCAGATGTTGGAGTTCCTTTTCTGCCAGTTGAGGATGGAGTGTTGCGAAAAGTGCAGCTGTCATCAAATCGCTGTGTCTGTGCCACGGCTGTGGCATCGCTACATCTACTCCTCGTGCCTGTCCACAACCACGCTTTATCTTCCCACCTACCCCAGAGGTTCTACTCAACACTTCTAATGAGATTGCACACGGATGTATATAGATATTTTATTGTCGATGCAGTCTTTATGGCCCTAGAAAAGGAACAAAAGACAGGACGGCAGCAGCATCAGTTGGGGTTCGGGGGGGGGGGGGGTTTGCTCAGCTTTTATGTCCATGCACCTTTAATGGTTCTACGGGGAGGAGGCGTTTTTACTACGACTATTATTCTGATTATTAGTATGACAAAATTGAAAAAGTCTGCCTTTTTCATCAGAAAGGGGCCACTGAAGTGAATGTCTTGAGATATAGTGTACTAAAGACGCAACACTTTTGTATATGTATTTATCGTTGTGTTCCCGGCGCCTCGTGGTGGTCGTTCTCTCACGGATGGACGGGCGATACTTTCGATTCGCGACACAAACTGTGTCCGAGATTTGGACCCCAATACAACTCTCAGAAGGTCCTTAAGATCTGATTTTATTTTAAAAGCGCTGTAACGGCAGCTCCATTTAGAAATGTTGACCTGGCGAAAGTAGAGCTTAATTCCTTTACCCTGTTAATGTTAGGCCCAGTCTTCAGAGATGAGAACAATGTTCAGACTACCTGGTAGACTTCTCATGCAGGACACAGTGACCTGCAGCTTCATTAAAGCAACCAGGCGGACTGCAGCTGATGCGCCTGAGACGCATGACGCTGTATATCACAGTGGGCAAAGGGAATTCTTGTTTAGGCACTAAAGTGTAGTGTGTAGGCTAGTTAACTTGGGAGTACTGCATATCAAACGCGTTGGCCGCTACACACAAAGCAGCAACCTGCCCTAGAGAGTCGCACACACCGAGACCCTAACGCATCCTTGTGTGAGGTGAAGTAACCGCAGTAGTCAGGTTTGGCTTGTGTAATAAATGCTCCTCGGTGATCTACCCGCTGCAGAGCTTCATCCACCGCTGGACTCACGCAAGAGTTCCACTCACTAACAGACACCTCCTGTTCCTGCAGAGCATGCTGAAAAACAACAACGGGACGTGTTAGTGTAGACTTACTGTCATCTGCAGAACCTCATTGTTCTTTTGTGCTGGGTTTTTTTTTCCTTCATTTTAATTTTATTTTTTGGTTTGGAAAAAAAGTGTTTCTTGTGATTACCTGTTAATTAGTGATGTGATTATTGAACATGAAATAAAAATGGACTAAAACTCATTTGTGTTCGATCTTCTGTTTGACTATTTCAAAAAAGTTAAAGGATGTGTTTTCACTGGGTAGATTTCAGGTCCAAGTTGATTTAAAGATTTAACTCCGTGTGTGTCCTTTACATATCTCAAGAACTGTTCATCTGATCTACTCAACACTTCTATGGGTGTATTGCTGTGGACCTAAGGGAGTGCCGTGTGGAACTTGGTGCATATTAATACACTTTGAGGGCTCGGTGGACTGAGTGGAGAGCATCGTCTGCAGCGGGCTATTCCGCTGCGCTGCTGGATGCTGGATAGTGTCTTCGCTTCCCTGGAGGCGATGAGCGATGAGCGGGATTTGACGATACTGCAAGTAGCACTCCGGGGATCAAGCAATCGGAACCGCTACGAATGGCCATGTGCTCCGAACTTCAGCATCAATACTGAGAGCCACGCCCCAGAACGAGCTCTGTAGTCTAAGCATCTCATAGAAGCTGCATAGTACGTACTAACCAACGCAGTATGCAGTACACACAGAGTTCGTCAGTAGAATACTATGTTATATTGATTATTTTTTTCAGTATGTTAGCCGGCTTATCTTTTAAACGAGCTCTAAAAGCACTGCACTGTTCTGCCTTAATAGGTTGAGTGAAATTAAAGGGGGAGAGTGTGATTAATCAACCACTGTCTGCCTCAGAATCAGCTCATAGGAAACACCTGTGTGAGTTTACAATTATGTGTCAGAGACAACGGCCCAAATTCATACCGGACCCTCCCACTCCGTGTGACGGAGTGCATTCCGTTAGTAATCAACTCAGGTTTTTTATGAGCTGTTTGGGTTTAATATCCAACACTTTACAACCAGGATCTACCTTTTATGCTCCTCCTGACATTATTATATTGCCCAAATGATTGATTTACACACATTTGATGCATTGCTCACAAGACAGTTACAGTCTATTATACACATATGCTATAAAATCATAATGTACATACCAGGATTAACTGAAACAAAGGAGACAGCCTCAGTCACTCCATATGAAGAACTCAGCAAACCCGGCATGTGGTCCGCCTGTAATTCCACTGTTGGACGGTGGGGGCAGCAGCATACCTTTAAACTAAGTTAACTACCAGCCTGCTCAACTCCAGGAGAAGAAGACAGTTACTAGGGTAACGTCAACATCATCTCGGGTTGCTGACTTTCTAGCTAACTGGTAGCGTTAATTGACATTTTCTCTACTTTTCTCTCAAGTAAACTTGCCAACGAAACAGCCTTTTCCGGTTGGACATTTAGAAACTTCTATTGTCGAAGAAAACGACCAAGAAGGAGTTTAAGGTACGGAACCATTGCTAGCTACTCGTGCTACTCCGTGGCAACGAGCTAACGCTGAAGTTATTTCAGCTCATGGTTAGCGTCGACTAAACAAAGAGTCAACTAGAGGTTAGCTCTAGTGCACGTTACAATATGTCGTACAGATAACGTTAACCTTTCCGTAACGTTACATAGATAACACCAATCAATAACGTTAGACTATGCAGTCATAACAAACATTTAGGCAGCTAACGTCACTTCTAGGGCTAACGTTTTCTCAATATTTGAAATTGCATGGCCACCAAGCTATCTGATATTATTTCTATCTGCATCTTGGCTTTTATTGTAAGCTTTGGTCCTTTTAACATGTGTGTTTAAGCTAACCAGCAGCACCGTAGAGCACAAAGTAACGTTACATACTTTAACAGAAAAGCAAACTCACGTACTTCATAGGATCGCATTGACAGACCACACAAAGCTTCTTATAGCTCCTCTGATTTTGCGTCACTGGTGCAATTTTGTGACTGATTTTGGTTCACAAGCCTCAACACTTTGTGTCATAGCTTCCCACCGAGTGTCCGGCGAGTGTTGCCAGAATCAACAGTCCCATATCAGAAAAATGGTCTCGCACATAAAAGTAGAGGAGTCTCCTGAGATGCAAAGAGAAGATGTATTTGTTCCATGTGCCAAACATTACTAACAGGGGATTGCTGGAGCAGCACAGGCTGTATGGATTTCCTTCCACTCATCAGCAACACATATTTGATTCGTTACTTGTTATTGGCACTGTTAACTGTATATGTTTACATGTATACGGCTTTAGGCATCATGGCGAGTCAGCGGCCTCCCTCCGGCATTGGCCGCCCATTGAGCCGCAGTGGATCTGTGCTGCCTGGCGCCGTCCGACCCCTGACCGCCGTCCGACCTCCTCCTACAGCTATCCGTGTCGCAACTGGGGTAAGTCAACTACAGCGTCCATGCATTTTAGCTTTGAGATACAAGTGCTCTTCCTGTGAGTATATTGACTACTTTTCTAAAGTCACAGCACCAGACTAACTAGACTAGCAAGGGTACAAAAGGCCCAAAGTATCACTCGGTGCCAGCTGGCCTCTGATGGACATCTTAAATCTTAGGTCATGACTTGACAAACAGACACCCTGGTGGAATCTGTGCTCCTCCACATAGTTTCTCAGTAAGGTGGATCTAAATTAAGAGAACTTCATTTTATATTTTGTAAAACACATTTAAAAAAAAGTTATTGAGTTAAACTTTTTTCAGTTTTAAATCATTGCCTATAAACTCATAAGGATGCAGTTCTATACAGTTAGTATGTGTAGTGGATAGGAAAACATTAACCTTTGCACACCGCAAACGAGCAGCTCAATTTATCTCTTTTTTCCCCTCTCGTCTCTGTTTGACCTCGCTCTGTAGCATGTAAAGTTATTCAACAGTATCCAGTGATTACATGGTCTCTTTCTTTAATTTCTCAATGTCTGTCATGGCGGGAAACGTGGAACCCAGCATCTCGTGTCTCATGGCTGACGTGGATGGCTGGAAAGTTTGAACTTTTCTTGAAATGTCAAAGCTCTTTGCGCTGACTGAACAAAGGGGACACTGGGTTCAGCACTTTTTCTGGCACAACTACATTCTCGTAGCTTTTGTTTACCTGTTAGCAAAGTTAACCATCAAACAAACTACTTTTAGTGCGAGCGAAGTTAGTGCTTGTATTTGTGATCTGGATGTTATGAGCATATCAGCATATGGGACTAGCTTTAGATGTGGCAGTGTTGGTAACCAGCTGTAACTTTTAACACTATAGCTCTCTTCAAATGAGCGAGTTAAAGCCCAGTCTCGTGGAGTTTATTCTCTAATCCTCCATCCAGATGGTTCCAGGTACAAGCGGTCATCCTGGCATGAGGGGCGGCATCCCCATCGCCACCCCTGGAGTCCTCTCGGCACAGATCAAAGTGACTGACAGGCCTGTGACCCAACAGGGGCTCAGTGGCATGAAGACTGGCATGAAAGGTTGGTCTGATGTGACATCAGCTGGCACTTTTTTTTGAAAAGATAGACTTGTATTCTTCTGGTTTTATGTCACTTTGAGCCACTGTGAGCCGACAGATACTAAGTCTCACCACCTCCTTCCTTCTTCCACCCCACAAGGACCTCAGAGACAGATTCTGGATAAGTCGTACTACTTGGGCCTTCTTAGGTAACACATGCTACCGTTAGTTCTACTGTCCAAATGATTGAGTAAAACATGTCAAGCCCTTATTGCTATTGCCTTACACTATGCTGTGTTTCCAGCAGGGCAACCTTTCCTTGAACACCCTGTCGGTACACACTGGTCAATTCAAAGTGAATATCTTTTTTTTTTTTTTTCTTGTTGTGCTGTTAGGGGTAAGATCAACGAGTTAACCACAGAAACCAGTAAGCTGCACAAAGAGATTGACAACTACAACCAGGAGAATTCTGTTTATCTCTCCTACGAGAAGAGGTGAGTGGCGGTTAGTGCTGACGCTGTACATATTGTAATAAATGAACAGACCATGTTCTGGTGTTTTATTTAGATACGCTGCATTCCACAGCCTTCAAATATTCATACATATATGAGAAACACTCGGCGACCATTCGAAGCATCATTCAACGACCTCAGTAGAGGCTTTGACTGTTAAAACAAAGCATTCGCTACAGTCCTCATTATTACCTCATTGCATATGAATATCAGGGCTCTTGAATAGAATATATCATAGTATTAATTAATAAAATAATGAACAATCGCATTACGGCGTGAAACCAAAAATACAAACAAAACAGTTTGTGTGTTTTTTTCCCTTTAGAGCCGAAGGCCTGGCTGCAGAGATTAAGGATCTTCAGGGCCAGCTGGCTGACTACAACATGGTACATGTCTGTAAACTAATGCAGCTTTAGCCAGAGTCTGTGATGATCTTTAATGAGTCCACACTCAAACAATCCTCAGCTCACACATCCTGGATATGAATATGACAAGCAACCAATGTGTGGAGTAAAAACAATATCAGAAGAAATATGCTTACACTTTATGTATTGAGCTAAAGTTCTGATGTATAGTATAGTATGTGTATATGTGTATGTATGTATGTATGTGTGTGTGTGTATATGTATGT